ACCAGCCGTGTCCTGACCAAACCAGGCCAACTCGTCCAGTTCGACAACATGGGACCAATCGACCCGCCTGCGAAGTACAACGGACGTACCTACTCCTACGTCCCCAAAGCGACCGACGTCCTTACCAGAATGCGGGAAGTGTACCTACTGCGCGACAGGACCCAAAACACGCAAGCTCTGCACGCCTACAACATGCAAGTAGCATCTGAAGGCTACCGCATCGAGGTGCTACGTTGTGACAAAGGGGGAGGGAACACTGGGGAAGAAATGCGCAACTACTGAAGGAGTCTGCGATCAAGCTGGAATTCGCCGCGACCAACACGCCCCAAGAAATCGGAGTGTCAGAAAGGGATGGCCAGACACTTGCGGCTGTGACTCGAGCTCTACTGCGCGATGGAGACTTCCCAAAACACGTGTGGGGGGAGCTCATGACGACTGCAGCATACCTGACCAACAAGACCCCACACGCGGAGCTAGGGGGAGCCACGCCGTATTCCAAGATGTACAACACAACCCCGGACCTTTCTCGACTTCGTGCCATCGGCGCCCGCTCGTTCGTTCATCACGAGCGATAAAAGAAAAAGCTAGACGACCGGGCCTTTGAAGGCAAGCTCTGCGGTTACGGACCTGACAGCAAGACGTACCGGATCTACGTGGAGGGCAAAGACAAGGTCTACGAGAGCCGGAACGTGACTTTCATCGAGACTCCACCGAACACCATCCCCCCTCACCGGTGAAACGACCGTCTCGGATATGAACAGGACGTGATGAACTTCATGTCATTGCTCGAACGTGGTACCTCTACGGGCGACGAAGACAACAAAGTGGACTACGGAAATCAATCAGAGCTCCTACTGCACGAGAAGCGCAACATGCAGCAAGACAACATCAGCCGAGCAGAACTTCGCCAAAACAACGCGGGCATGGATTCCGACAACTACTTTGCTGCTGGGGGAGCTGACAGCAACAACAACCCGCGGACTACGACACCATCCAGGACATCGCAAGGACCCTACGCGAGAGATACCCTACAGCGATACGGAATGGAACAGGCAAACCCGGTCAGCACCCCCGGGTATGGAGCAGAACTATCAACCGAGCAGCCACAAGACCAACAACTCGAACCCGAGGACAAGCACAGATTCCAGGCCATCACCGGGAGTCTCCTGTACCTTGCCCAATGCACCCGCTACGATCTGTCATACGCAGTGCACCAACTGACACGGGCATGCGCAAACCCAGCACAGGTCCACATGGCTGCGGCCAAGCACCTACTACGGTACCTACGCGGAACGCCGGGCCTGCCGATCGTGTACAAGAAGGGGCAGTTCAGACTCTCGTGCTTCACTGAATCGTCATTTGGAGCCAACCCAGACAACGGCAGGTCTACAACCGGATACATGTTCTTCCTAGGAGGGGGACTGATCAGCTACGGAGCCAAGGCACAGACTCTCGCAGCACAGAACACCGTGGAGGCCGAACTTCAAGCGCTGGGCTTCAGTGCTCGTGAGGCAGTCTACATCTCCAACTTTATGACGGAAATTGGATTCAAGACCTTTCGATCGGTACCCATCAACAGCGACAGCACCGGAGCATTGACTGTGGCCAGCAACGCGATGTTCAGCTCTAGAACCAAGCACATCGCGCTCCGGTTCTTCTTCCCCAGGGAACTCACGAAGGGGCACCGGATCACTCTTCACCAACCCAGTGCCACAATGTTGGCGGACATCGCGACGAAACATCGCCCGAAGCAGCGATTCACCACCATCATGCAACTCATCAAGGACTACAAGTGCTAGAAGATATCAAGCACAAGATCGCATAGTATGGTTGGATGTTTTGAACGCGTGTACTGCTCACAGGATGGATTCACTCCTGTGGACGTCGATATTCTTCGATATGGATTGGGAATTGAGGGGTCGCAAAAATTGGCAGCGAAGTGAAGTTTTGAAATTNTTCACCACCATCATGCAACTCATCAAGGACTACAAGTGCTAGAAGATATCAAGCACAAGATCGCATAGTATGGTTGGATGTTTTGAACGCGTGTACTGCTCACAGGATGGATTCACTCCTGTGGACGTCGATATTCTTCGATATGGATTGGGAATTGAGGGGTCGCAAAAATTGGCAGCGAAGTGAAGTTTTGAAATTACTCGCCTAATCGAGGGGTCGTGTCGAGGAAAACTGTTACAACGTAGTCAGGCACAGTTTACCATAGGTGCGACTGCGGCAACTAGCCTTCCGTAGACATAATACAGAAAGAGGAGATGGTACTTAGCAAAGAACATGAGCACAGAGTTGTAGCGGAGATAATTTGGGAGGCGAGACTGTAGCCGTTTTATTTTTCCGAACCCTGAAATTCCGGTACTCGGGCCAATACCCCGGACACCCTCGGACGGAAATTGCTGTGTTTGCTGCTTGTTTTTGGTTTTGTTACTGAGCTNAGAACATGAGCACAGAGTTGTAGCGGAGATAATTTGGGAGGCGAGACTGTAGCCGTTTTATTTTTCCGAACCCTGAAATTCCGGTACTCGGGCCAATACCCCGGACACCCTCGGACGGAAATTGCTGTGTTTGCTGCTTGTTTTTGGTTTTGTTACTGAGCTGAGACACAAGCGCGCCTTCGCCCCTTGTGCTCACTCTCATCTTGCACCCATCAAAGCCTGACCAGGGAGTCAGTTGATAAGAAAATCTATCTACATTTCTCTTTCCGAGGCTCGCTCGGGCCTACCGATCTCACAGCAGTGTAGACTAACCTCTGTGATAGAGCGGTGAAAGCAGTGTAAACTCTGTGGTAGACTACAAAGTCTACGAGCTACAGCAGCACGCCACATTTTGTGACCCGCTACAATTACAATTTTCTGATCAACCATCAATTCATCCTCGAGCTCCTCGCTAGACTCGTCACTACATGTTATCTTCTAACAAACGTCACTTCATACCGCATCCACGTATCATTGCATACAGCAATTTCTCTGACGCTATGACCTCATTGCCAATCTACTCATATCTTAGGCTATTTTCTTAGACGGAGGGGGATTCGATGGATCATATCATGAAATATAATTCATACAGCTGCATCTATTCTACTGCACACACATCCAACAGCAGTAACGCGCTGCTGTATTTCAATAAACACACCCACACCTTGGATTAATACATTTTGCTGCCGAATCCTCGATAATCATCCATTCACGTTCGTTCATGGGTGGTGGGTATGGATCACATACATACTCCTATCTAAAGTGCGTTGGTTCAGCCAAGAATATTCACTACGTAAATACCTTTCAGAATGAAATTTCGAACTCCAGAAGAATGAATGGCAGTGAAGATACAATGAATGGTATTCATTCGATAGTTAGTGTAGACGCACTTGTAGGCAGTGGTTAAACTCACCGTGTCTCAAAATTGTAGGACAAATCTGAGTGAGGATGTTTTGGCTAGAAGATGCTGCTCCCGCAAGGATGCGGCACATCACCCGTGGGTTCATCTGAATCAGTGTGCGTTCGTTCATGGGTGTTTCGCGCGTTCACCGGTGGTGTCGGCCCGCTCGTAAGAATGAACTTCGTAAGAATTTGATGATAAAATATATGAAGTACCAAGAAGAAGTACGAAAAAATTACGCTCATCATCTGATCGACAACAACACGAAAACGAGGAACAGAAAATCCCCCAATATCTCCCGGTGACAAGGAACCTAAGGATTCGGGGCTGGACTCTTGGGAAGAAGGAACGGTCGCAAAGCCTTGATAGATATACTTGTAGCAATGCCACGTGGTTGATATGGAATGTTCCCATTGAATTATGATGCGCGGAATACTGTAGGATTGTGTGGTACGTGGAACATATTTCCAGGATGTGCAAGGTACCCCTGTTGCATACTGCGTCGCCCCCTCTTTGGTGGTGCGTGCGCGTGTGCGTTCAGTTCATGTGAAGAAGTTTATGCAACAATCCCGTCTTTCCTCCTTGGCGCGAGCACGTCGAGTTGCCGACACCCTATTCAACACACGTCTTGCGACACGCTCCCCCCAGTTCGGATCATCCTATCACGCTAGCGTGATATCATGCGGGATCCCGAGGTGAAGCTAGCTATAAAAGGGACCGCCTACGCAGGATTTTAAGAGTATATAGAAAAAGAATAGGGAGGGGGCACACAGACCCTATCCCTAACCCTAACCCTAACCCCAAAGCACGGATTGAATACTTTATCCCATATGTTTGCTTAATCGATTTTGCTGCGTAGACTATCATATAAAAGGATTCGGCTAGAGAATTAGATCATGGAGGAAGCCCTCGACCTCAGCAGCTTTACTGAGGAGGACCGCCACGCGTTAGCGGCGCACATCAGAGAGGAGGTGGAGAATGGAGTACAAGAGAAAATGAAGGAAACAAAAGAAAAGCGTCCCGCTTCAGATAGCGTGGACATACCCCCCGATGGAGGCGATCCCCGGCATGCTCGGCCGGCTGGAACAGCGTTGAACCCGCAATCTGAAGACCAACCACGAACGTTGGAGGACCGTCTCGTTGATTCTTTCGCCCGGGCAATGCGAAGGACCAACACCCCGGGGGAGGAAACCAGGGAAGTCTTAGCCCCTAAGGACACCATCCGTGTCAGTCCTGTGATACATGAAGCCCCATTTACGGGTGTGTTCGATTCCAGTGGCGACGTTCAAGTTAGAGTACAGGTTTTTGAGAGCCAATTTCGGATGTTGTTGCAACAAGAAGATTGCCTGAATGGGATACTGTCAGAAGAGACGATCAGGGTGGGGAAGTCGGATGCAGACATTCCCAAGCTGAAAGAGGAGTATGGTAGAAGGCCGTAGAGAAGGCCATGAAGGCCTGGTAGTTAATACTGGAAAAGATTCAAGTTTCGTCGATCGTACCAGCAATTATCTCTAGTGGTTGCCCCACGGTGTCATGGAGGATTTTCCGAAATCATTTCGAAATTATCTCTTCGTCGACGCCAGTGTGGACCCTAGCAACTGTCGGAGATAGAGGCCGGTGCCTTGGCGGTATTAGACTATCCCATTGTCAGGGGAAGGCTATTTCCTCTCGTGATATGTAAACGAGGAGAAGCGGGTAGAGAGAGAGTGGCCACAGAGAGAAGGAGAGGAGAGTCGAAGACTCTCCGCTTCTTCTCTCGGTAAGTGGCCAGGGACTTCGGAAGAGGCAAATCTCCGACGGTGTGTTTCTTGTCACTCTCCCAGTGACAAGATACCCCGATGGAGCTATATCTTCCTACACTTTGTATGTGTACACATGGTTAGCTATACTCCCGACAGGTGTCATCCACAGCACGCTCACACGGAAAAAACTACTTCCTACAACTAGAGTAGCAGGAGATGACGCAGAAAGTTGACCAGCACCCGAAGGAGTACCTGTCGAGAGGGTGGGTACTTAGGCAAAGACTATCGTCATGCGGCGTGACGATCACAGAGGATGATGCTAACAGACATCTTGTGCGCAACCCCCTCCCCGAATATGATGTCTACACAGGCTTTCTGATGTCCGAGAGTGGTCTAGAGAAGGAGAGAGTAGAACGGATAATTGTGAACGCTTGGGCGGAGATGGAGGCGCGAAGGAAGAAGAAGCAGGAGAGCGTTGGGGCTTATGCCCTCGTCACTGGCGGTGAGAACCGTAGTGGCGGGGGAGGGAACACGGGGGGACCAGGAAAGACGAGAGGACAGCGGAGGACAGTAGCGCGGCAGCAGCACCAGCACCAGCACCAGCCGCAGCAGCAACAGCAACAGCAGCCATACCTTCATCATCAACACCAGCTGCCGTGCCCGCCATAGAAGTACCCGCCCGATTTTAGCGTAAAGTTCTGCACCCTCCACAACACCCACTCCCACAGCAACGAGGAGTGCCGCCTACAACAAGGTTGGAGGGGAGCATCGAACGGTACTGGTGCGAGCTTCGGCGGAAGGCACGGCCCTCAGCAAGGGGGGCGAGGCTACAACGGAGGAGGACGAGGACATCTGCAGCAGCAGCCGGCGGGAGGAAGACACGGGGGACGCGGTGCCACTGCCGGTGGATGGGGCAGAAGCCCTCCTCACCAGGTATCACCAGGCAGCAACGTTCCCGCCTTCCCCGTACCTCAGCAGGGGTACGACTACAGCGCGTACCCTCCGAACCTCTACCGCTCCCAAGGAAACGAGCCGCCCGTACACGCAGCAGATCCGAGGAAGCGGTGTGAGAACTGCGGTGAGCTGGGCCACAATCACATCTTCTGCCCTTGACGGGTGGATGTAGGGAGACCAGCCGGCCAGCCCGCAGCGTCCGCACCGCCCCGGCACCCGGCCGCGGGATACAACACCCAGCGGCCCCCGTGGGCCCACTCCTATGGCCAGGCCAATGCCGCACAGCAATACGGTGGGGGGGGGCACGAGACAGGAGCAGCGACAAGAGCATCAGCAGGAGCGGCGGCAGGAGCACAACAGCAAGCGGTGACGCACGTGAGCGGCGTTTACCAAAATCCGGTGACGCACGCGAGCGGCGTTGACCGGTACCCGCCCCAACAGCAGCAGCCGGAGTACCTTTCCCCCCCCGTGCAACAGCAGCACTCCATCCCCAACCCGAACCCGTACGCTCCTCCGGCGCCTTTGACCGGAGCGTCTCCATCGACTGGTGGGGATTTGCATGCATGTGTGGTATGGGCTTTTTCAAGTGAATCTGATAATGGTGTGCTGGTAGAGCGTAGGGTCGACGGTTATGCAATGATGAACGTGCTTGATGAGAGTGCTGGAGACAAAACTTGGTTTGCAGACTCTGGCGCCACGAACCACACCACAGGTGACCCTAGGTGCATGTTCGATGTGGTGATTCCTCCCCCTGGTAGCGAGCGAGTGGTGATCGGAGATGGAGGACGATGCTTGTGCTTGGTATCGGAAGCCTGAACGTCAAGTTCCACAATGGTGGTAGCGAGTTTTGCGTAAAGCTCACCAACGTGCGCCACATTGAGGGAATGATTCGCTTTACAAGGCAATGGGCGGGCAACGCATTGCGATGGATCCTGTAGGCATTCACCTTTTTGACGGAAGATTAACTTTTCCCCGTGGCGAGCGTGGTTCATCATTGAGAGCCACTGGTCTACCGCCAAATTACACTACGCCAATCGCTGTGCCCGTGAAAACGCCGTTTCCCCCGCCCCCCCCTCGCTCTGCAGATGTTGTGAGTGTGACTGGTGTTGCTTCTATGCAAGCAATCCCTCGCATGCAGCCTTTCCCCCACGGTGTAGCGTACATGCCCCCTTTCTCGGTGTCTAGTGTCCCTCCCACTGTCGCCAGCGCCAGCAGTGTAGTACCTCCAACGGTGTCTAGGTTCCCGCCCAATGACAGCAGTGTCATGCTTCCATCCGCTCCGAGGAGCGTTGTGCCAACCCCCGTCTCTGGTTTCCCGCCCGCTGCCAGCAGCGTAGTACATTCTGGTGACCCCACCGCACACTTGCATGCCTCCGTGTCGAATTTTCCGCCCGCAGCTGCCGGCGTATTACCTACCTTCCACGGTGTATGGTTTCCCGCCCGCTGCCAGCAGCGTAGTACATTCTGGTGACCCCACCGCACACTTGCATGCCTCCGTGTCGAATTTTCCGCCCGCAGCTGCCGGCGTATTACCTACCTTCCACGGTGTATGGTTTCCCGCCCGCTGCAAACAGCGTAGTACCCTCTACTGTTCCCGGTTTCCCACCCGCTGCAAACAGCGTAGTGTCCTCAACTGTGTCCGGTTTCCCAACCCGCTGCGAGCAGCGTCGTTCCTCTGGCAATGTATGCCCCCCTCCCCGCTGACAGGAGTGTGGTTTCCACTCCTCAAGTGCCGCATGGTATGGAGTTGGAAGCTGTTCCCGGGCTGCCGTCGCCCGACGTCTCCATTTTTCAGGAGAGTAATGATGATGATGACCGTGGGTGCATTTAATACACAGAGCGGGGAGATTACGAGTGGGCTGTGCACCTATTGGAACAAAGAGAGGTATCAGAAGACCCCTGCTATTTTTTGGACTTGATTTGATCGGTGGGGAAACCCACCAAGACTATTGACGATAACCTTCTGCACGTTTCGTGCTCCCACGCCAATGAGTTTCGTTTGCGTGAGCTTGCGAAGCAGCACGGTCTCCGACTGACCGGTGTCCTGCAGCCTTGTGGTGGATGCCTGCAGGCAAAGGAAAAGAAGGCGGGCGTGCCTCACCTATCGGGCACGCGCTCGGAGCGGCCGGACGATCTTTGGCACATCGATCTGTGTGGGCCGATGAAGGCCTCGCTGGGGGGATCGTTTTTCATCATCATAATCGTGGACAGCTCCTCGCGGTGGATGAAGCTGTACGGGATGAGGCGCAAGTCGGACACCCTCGCCTCCGTCAACAAGTTCCTCGCCGACGTGAGTGGCACCGGTGTCCCTCGCTCTTTCCGCATGAACAACGGGGGGGAGTTCATCAGCCGCGACTTCATTGCCTTCTGCGACAACGCCGGCATCGGCCGTACGTACACGGTGCTGGGCACCCCGCAGCAGAATGGTCCGGCGGAGAGTGCGATCTGGCGCGTGAACAAGGCCGGCCACGCCACTCGTCTCAAGGCACGCCGCCTGTTCCCCAAGATCAACTTCACCCGCGTCCCCGGCTTCGGACGCGATGGCGAGCGACTTTGGCTAGAGTCGTGTCACTGGGCTGCCGGCGGCTTCAACCGTTCTCCGACCAAGGCAAACGTCGGGAACAAGTCGCCGCACGAGCTCTTCACCGGTCGCCCGCCCCCGCTACAGATCGTCCCGTTCTTGCAGCCGGGGTACATGCGTGTGACGCGCGTGCGGAAGATAGACCCCCAGGCAGCGCTATGCTGCTACCTCAACAACGGCGACAACCATCACGAGTCGGCGGTCAAGGTCCTCAAGTTCGCGACGGGGTGCGTGTGCATGACGAACAACGTCGTGTGGGTCTCCGACCGCGCGCCGTTGCTAACCCCGCCGCTGGAGCTGCCGGCGCCGGCGGACGATGGGGGGGATTCGGATGTTGCCGCCGCACCATTTCTAATTGAGTACATATCACCGCCTCTTTAACCTCCCTCACCGTTCGCCCAATATCCCACTTCACCCGCTGTCATATCCTCACAGGCGCTGCCGGCAACTTCCACACCACCATCGCCGGCGGCGCCGTCTATCGCAGCCACACCACCGCCACTGGTCGCTGCGCCGCCTGCAACGCCGCACGCCGCATCGCCACCGGTCACCGCGCCGCCTGCAACGCCGCTCGCCGCCGCGCCACCGTTCACCACCACCGCGCCGCCTGCAACGCCGCTCGCCGCCGCGCCACCGTTCACCACCACCGCGCCGCCTGCAACGCCGTTCGCCGTCGCGCCGCCCGGTGCCGCGCCATCGACCAACATGCCGCCGCTCACTACGAGGACCATCCGTGAACTGGACGTGGGGCGCGGGGACATGAGTGTTTCTGGGCGCACGAGGGCAGCCACCAAGGACCAAGGGGGGGGGCGGGCGTCGTCAATGCCGCCCCTCTCTGCCAGGGCCAATCGAGAGCTGGACTTGGGACAAGAGACGCGGGTGCCAGGGAGGTTGAGGGGTCGGGGGGTGCGTTTCCAGGATGAGGGGGCCGAGCAGTCGACGTCACATGGCGGGAGCGGCGACGCTCCCGCCCACCGCTTCGGGCTTGTATCCCTGCAGGACAAGGCAACGCTCCTGTCGACTCTCACCACTCGCAGCGTCGTCGATGGGGGGAGAAACGAGATCCCGAGTTCAGCCGGAGGACGTTTATTGAGCGGAGCCGGGGGGGCGAGAGCGGGAGGGCACGAAAACAGAAGGACTGCGTGAAGAAGTCCCATTTGCGTGCGCCACCTTGCTTGCCTCCCGCGAGGACATTGATCGCACGATGAGGGATTTGCANCGCTCCTGTCGACTCTCACCACTCGCAGCGTCGTCGATGGGGGGAGAAACGAGATCCCGAGTTCAGCCGGAGGACGTTTATTGAGCGGAGCCGGGGGGGCGAGAGCGGGAGGGCACGAAAACAGAAGGACTGCGTGAAGAAGCCCCATTTGCGTGCGCCACCTTGCTTGCCTCCCGCGAGGACATTGATCGCACGATGAGGGATTTGCATCCCCCGGAAGTGGCACCGGACTTGCCACATTGCTATGCTAACGACTTGGGCGTGCCCAAAACGTATAGGCAGCCTGTGTCCTCTGAGTATGCTGACTTGTGGATAGACTCTGTAGAAAGAGCGTTCAGAGGTCTGATGGAGGCTGGTACCTTTGAGGAAGTGATGTAACGAACAGAGAGTGTTGTCAAGGCCAAGTGGGTGTTGAATTGGAAGTCTGATGAGCATGGATGGCCGACTAGTGTGAAACCACGGCTGGTAGCGAGAGGAAATATGCAGCGAGTACATGTAGATTGTGGAGAGACGTATGCACCGACTGCAGCGGTTTCTAGCGTTCGCTTGTTGGCAGCGATGGCGTGTGAGCATCTTTCTCCTCGTCATTTTGACATCAAACAAGCATTTGTCCAGTCGGATTTGGATGAGGATGTTTTCATGCGTCTGTCAAAGGGGTGTGTGTGGTGGATTGTCAGGTACGNCTGCAGCGGTTTCTAGCGTTCGCTTGTTGGCAGCGATGGCGTGTGAGCATCTTTCTCCTCGTCATTTTGACATCAAACAAGCATTTGTCCAGTCGGATTTGGATGAGGATGTTTTCATGCGTCTGTCAAAGGGGTGTGTGTGGTGGATTGTCAGGTACGATAGTGAAGTTGAATAAGAGTCTGTATGGCCTTAAGCAGGCATCAAGGCAATGGCATTCACACTTGGCGCGGTGGTTGATTTGTGTAGGTTTTATTCGGTGTCTGGCGGATACGTGTGTGTTTCGGTTGACTGAGGAGGGGAGAGTGGTAGTGACTCTGGTAGTACATGTGGATGATATATTTTCGGTTGGAGAGGAGGAGAGGTGTGACCAATTAGGTAGGGACCTCAACACCATGGTACCGGTGAAGAATCTTGGTGGCTTGAGATGGTACTCTGGATGTTTTTATGAGAGAGATTGGGATGCAGGGACTTTGAAGATCTCGCAGCAGACGTACGCTGAAGAGTTGGGGATGGAGTTTGGGGTAGAGTACGGGAAGGAAATTCCCCTTCCTGTACGGTTGAAGCTTTCAGAGTTTGACCAGGATGAGGAAGTGGTATCATGGCCTTTTCGTAAGCTGATAAGATCATTGACGTGGCTGGCAACGCAAACCAGGCCAGATATCGCGAATGCAGTAAGCGCTGTAGCACGGTACTGTGCTTCTCCCAAAGAAGTTCGTTGGAGAGAAGGTCTTGGTATTTTGGGGTATGTGGTAAGGACTAGTGACTTGGGGATTACATTCAGGAGGGGTAGTGTAGCAGGGTTGAGCATGGAGGTGTTCGCAGACGCAGACTACGCAAGTAAGGCTGCCGATAGGAGGTCTTTGTCAGGAGGCTAGGTGATGTGTGGCGGGGGGTGTATTTCTTGGTTTTCAAGGACGCAGAAGTGCGTTACGTTGAGCACGACAGAGGCAGAGTATGTCTCCCTTGCGGATGTGATGAAGGAATTGTTGTTGCTGAGGCAGGTAAGGCGTTTCATGTTGCCAGAAGCAGGAATGCCGTGTATTCCGGTGTTCGAGGATAACCAGGGGGCAATTCAGTTGGCGCAGAAGCCGATTAGCAACAGCAGTAACTCGAAGCACATCGACGTAAGGCACCACTTTATCAGGGAACTGGTAGGCAGGAAGGAGATTTCGATTTTTAACGTGAAATCGGCGTATCAACATGCCGACTTCCTCACGAAGGCACTTAACGTGGGAGATTGAGTTCATCGGAACTTCGTAATGAGTATGAACTAATCCTGGTGTTTGGGTTTATTTTGTGTGTCATTAAGCAACTGGGGTGGCAACGTTTTACACATTTGCCTATGGTTTTTCTCAATGGATGGTGTTCTAGGCTGAGGGGCAATTAGTGTAGTAAAGTTCGAAGAAGTACAACTGGTGTACAACTGGTGTGATCGGGGACGGGTGTTGATGTCTAGCCAAGAAGGCTGTTGTTCTGGAGTTGTGTTGAGTTTCTGAGTTTATTTTCTTGTGTTTTGGAGTCATTGAGGATCGAAAAAAGACGTGGCATGGTCACAAGCAGGGGAGCTGATAGATATACTTGTAGCAATGCCAAGTGGTTGACACGGAATGTTCCCATTGAATGATGTTGCGCGGAATACTGTAGGATTGTGTGGTACGTGGAATATATTTCCAGGGTGTGCAGAGTACCCCTGTTGTATACTGCCTCGCCCCTCTTTGGTGGTGCGTGCGCGTGTGCGTTCAGTCCATGTGAAGAAATTTTTGCATCAAACCCAACACGTCTTTCCTCCTTGGCGCGAGCACGTTGAGTTGCCGACACCCTATTACAACGCACGTCTTGCGACAAGCTATCCCCAGTTCGGATCATCCTAACAAGCCTTTTCACATCTCGATAGCCGTGATGACCTCAGCGCTCACGAGAACATCATTCGCGATGCAGCTTTCGGACGGATTTCATCTATTAGGAGTGCACCCTCACAGAATGTGGCGTCTTGCAGCAGCGGAGGTGGCGGTGCTGCTGTAGCTCGTAGACTTTGTAGTCTACCACAGAGGTTACACTGCTGTCACCGCTCTATCACAGAGGTTGGTCTACACTGCTGTGAGATCGGTAGGCCCGAGCGAGCTTTGGAAAGAGAAATGCAGATAGATGTTCTTATCAACTGACTCCCTGGTCAGGCTTTGATGGGTGCTAGATGAGAGTGAGCACAAGGGGCGAAGGCGCGCTTGTGTCTCATCTCAACAACAAAACAAAAACAAAAAACAAGCAGCAAAAACACAGCAGGTTCCGAGGGTCTCCGGAGTAATGGCCCGGGTACCGGAATTTCGGGGTTCGGAACAATAAAACAACTACAGTCTCGCCTGCCAAATTATCTCCGCTACAACTCTGTGCTCATGTTCTCTGCTGAGTACCATCTCTTCTTTCTGTATTATGTCTACGGAAGGCTAGTTGCCGCAGTCGCACCTATGGTAAACTGTGCCTGACTACGTTGTAACAGTTTTCCTCGACACACCCTCCAGCGACGCTGGCTCTATGCGTTCTGTGTTGGTGGGGCACATCAATCCGACGGCTACCCCGCAAACCAGCCACATACTCGGCAACCTCCCTGGTGTTGGCAATAAATGAGCGCACCATCAACGTAAAGTGCGTTAGTATTTATTGAGTGTAGACGAGGCAAATGTAGGCGTAGGGACATGGGTATGGATCGAGCCGATCCACGTTCACGATATGTAGGCGGTACCCCGACAAGCTAACGGGACCTGGATCCCCAACGTTCGCAACAACAACCAGGATGAGGACTACTGTATGTACATGATGACTGGATTCCGAAGGAGACAGAAGCTCGTTTGTCCCCCTCCCGAACTATGGTGTTATGCCTGTAGAGGTTCCTGTGGTAGGCCAAGATACCGGTTGGCATTCACACATGACCGTGGGTGGTTCAAGTTTCATGCTCAAAGGGAAATCGGCACGCACAAATGAATCATGACTGGGTGAAAATGAATGTGAGGGAAAAAAGATACCTTGTAGACTATTTATATTAGTTCCGTCGAAAACAAGAGGTGGTCCAAAGCCCATATCGTTGCGGCAATTACTGATAATAGTAACGTGATGAGCCTCGCCAATATGTTGTGTTTCCTACGAGCAGGTCGGCACTGCTGTAATGTTACTATGGTACATATGTGCAGAGGGGGGGGGGCGGCCAGAACGTAACGGGTGGCTATGGAAACGAAGACGTGGGACGAGGTTGAGGTGGAGATTTGACGGGTGCTTCGAGCTCCTCCTTGTTCTTGAGGGCGGAGATGACGTATATGAGCCATTTGTCCTCCAACAGCTACGATGAGAGGAACTGAGGAACGAAGGCTTTCTCTCACATCAGCGTGTTAAATTTCCATCTGCATATCCTCCGTAAAAGTCGCTCGGAAGATGAATGGAACGAGTTACAAACGCTGAGAAAACCGTCGTCTTGTGTTTGGTGATAAAATATCAAAAACTCTACTTATGTACTTTTGACACCGTAGTCGATCACTTGATGTACGTATTGGATCGGATCAGGCCTCCTGTCCCCCCGGCTGGCGGACCCACTCAAGCTTTCGTCATTTTCACCTACCCCTTCTTGGACGCCAGGCCGGGGGGCGGGTTACCGCCTCACAAGCCCCACAACTTACATGAAACCTGCCGCCGGGCGCGCCGAGAATCGCCCCGCCAAGTCGGGGCCCGACAGCGCATCGCTGGCCCCTGCGGAATCTCTATTCAACATGCAATATTCTCCCCGGGTCGCCGGTGGTCGCCCAGGTGCCTTGCGTTCTCATTTTCCGGGATCAAACTGCACACCTTCTAGACTGTGCCTACCGCTGTGCCCCACCACGACTGTCCTTGGACGCGAAAAGGACGGCAAGGTAATCTTAGCGGGCAGGTTCGCTGCCCGCGACTTGCAGGGCAGCCGTCATGCGGGGAACGCTTCCCTGCTGCGTTGACGCTTTTTGTTGGACCCCCTCAACGCCGTTGGCGGCTGCCATGCATGCAGCGGTGACAGCACGCAACTGTCGGGAAATTGTGTCGGCAGAAAAAAAGAAAGAAACTGCGTCAGTGCACGATAGGAAGAACTTGACGAACACCTAGAATTGGCAATTTGAAGCCACGCCTCATGGGGTGGAATGCAAGAGCGTAGAGCGCAACGTCCCGCGATATGGCAATGTACTCTCCCGGCGATCCATGTTAGTGACCGCAGCCATATCGCTGAGATATGGCCACAAGAGAGAAACAACGCTTGGGCTGTGCGTACGTCCAACCACGAAAGAAATATCAGGACGCTTTCATGGTGCCCTTGAAAAAGGCTGGGTGGGGTGAACCTCACGAGACAACCGCTGAAAGGTCGGACTACATGTGACGCCAAAGTATAGGTGCCACCGGTGAAGCGTCCCCCACGAGACAGGAAAAACGAAAACAACGCCGTGATGAACGTGCCCCTACAAAGAGAGGGTCATCAACGCCGTGGACATCGTAGAAAGTGTTTCTCTATCGCTAGCACGTGCCGATTATCGTGCAGCTGCATCAATCACTACGCATCTCGCGATGACATCAATTTGTCTGACGGTGTTGATCACCGCCCGGTACCGGAGAATCTGGGGTGCTGAAGATCGTCTCTCACCCCCGAGAAGGGCGAAGAAGACCTGCCCAATGGGTCTGGTAGAGAAAAGCGATGGCGCCACTACGACCGCGACAAGACTGATGAGTGATTTTTTGTTCAAGCTGACGACGGTCAACCGAGTACGAGACATTACAAATCTTCCGTAGAATGGAACGGGGAAGAATAGTGTCCTGCGTGGGCCCAGCCGGTAGGAACATCTAAAAGTCTCACCTTTGTGTGGGTTGGGGCATGATTTGCAGCGCGCAACCGAAGCACGACGTTTCGAGTCTTCGCCCGGCAGATGCGACGGCAGATTCAAGTGTAATAGCAACTTGGCCATGAGAGGACGCCATCAGGGTTTTTCGAAACGGTTGGCCGCGAGAGGACTGCCATTAAGGCTTTTCGAAAAGGGCAACAACAGCCTAAACTTCGAACGGAACGGTCCACTTCGCTTTGAGAAGCTTGTCAGTATCTGGTCGAACACCTTGACGAATAGAAGGGTCGGAAACATATTCCCAAGCTCAACTGCTGTCGATGGTGTAAGTCGGAAGCTTGCGTAAAGCATCCGGGAGAGCGAAATTTCGACTTTCGATCCACCAAAGGGACAAGTTGGCTGCTGGCGCACCAACTCGTATGCAAAACGTTGGTGATCAGCATCAAGAGAGCAATATTCAAGATGATCGCGGTCCGAACTCTGATGACCTCGAGCTTAAGGATGCTCGATGGTAGTCATCGGTAGCCTACAGTAGGGAAACGGTTGATAAGCAACTCATCGGGGGTAAACTAGTGGCAGATCTACTAGAGTTATTTTTCGCAAACTTCAAATGAGGGAGATGAATATCCCAGACAACTTTCTTTTCGTTGACTGCCATCGCAAGCTTTCGTGCCAGTATGGTTGCCGCGCTCACACCTCCATTTCCATTGGGATGGTACGAACTGGTGGCCACTTTGCGAACTGCGATACGCTTGTAAATGGCTTGCGATAGTTTCGAGTAAACCTGCGTGCCATTGTCTGGTAAAAGACGCAAGGCCCCACGAAGGGAATTACCGCATCACTGAAGTATCTGCGGTGCCTTCGGCAGGAACTTCAGCGGTCGTGATGGCGTATGTGTCAGCATGTGGACAAAATATAGCGATCAGTGAATGGCAGAATGTCAAGTCTTACCCGAAGGGGATGGTAGGCAGGCGGCGAAATAATCGACATCCACGGACGTGCCAGGTCCAGAAGGCAGCGGTATGGTTAAAATGGGCCACCGTGCCATTTGTGAAGATGTTGTGAGAGCTTGGCATCGCAGGCAACGACGAACCCACCATTTTGGCCTAAACCATGCTTATGCCCACCCACCAGCAAAACCGCAAACAACATGGACGGAGTACGAGTCGCACCGAGATGAAGTGATGCATTGTCGTCGGAATCCTGCAAAAGCCATGGACGCTTTACCCCAGGGACATTACCCCTGATAGGTTCGTCGTTAAGACCCGCTACACACCCGCCAGGGCGCCTGGAATTGACAGATGTGGTTTGCCTGTTTTTTACAAGAAGGACAACGGTCGACGTGCATTCGCCCTTGTGTGCCAGTTTGCGGATGTCCGAAAGCGAAGTTCGGCGATGCGACGTAGGACGGCCAATAAAGCCAGGCGGAAAATCCAAAGGGCTAACCGCATGCGGTTAGGGCCGAAGGGGGTGAAGAAGAGGTGGAATCTGAAGAAACCCAAGTTGGCTGTGTAGCAGTGCGTTCATCATGCAGATTGCGCACAAACGAAGCATCCGTCGGTGGTGCTGCAAACCGAGGGCCAACGTCAATGTAGACGGGACGGGGGACCTTGTCATTGGGTCTTGGTCTACCGGAAATGGTAGTCGGCGGAGCGGCAGCGGTTGGAAGACCAGCGCCCATACATGTATAAATGCACATATCTTTTCGTGGAATCGCACAAAAGGGTTTTGTAGGAGAAGGGCCGCAGACGCGATACTCAGAATATCACCTGGTTCTCGAAACATCCGCCAAAAGGCACACGTTGCGGCCATGCGCGACGAAACTTTTTGAGGAAGAAACATTGATGGGTGTAGACTATATTGCGTAAACATGTGCACCATGGAATTGCCAACAAGGGCGTGGGAACCATCACCACATGCCCAAAACAAGTTAGTTGATGTTCGGGAACAGTACGGGCCCGCAATTAAAAGAAAATTACGTTAAGAAAATAAGGCTCAACTTTTTACGAAAAAGAAGAAAAAAGGAAATAATAATAACAAGAACACACAGCTAGCTCAATCTCGACGTCCCACTAAGAAAAAAATAGTAATCGATCGTGCGATATCCCAATAGGAAACGTCGCACTGCTGCTCCTTCCGTGCTCTCATCCCCCCCGTACCTAGCTGAACAAAGATTTCTTTCGGAGAGTGATTATTGTCGCGCGCCCTCCCCCGCCTCCGCGCTAGCTACTATTGCGCGCC